TCACCATGTAAGAATTTATTCACTATGTAAGAATTCGTTCACCATGTAAGAACTTGTTCGTTATGCTTCAGAAGATTGGAGACTGACGAGAATTAGGCTTGAGATGGATTAATGATTGTGCATTGAGCATTGACCCCCCCATACAGAATTTTATTGTTGTTAACAACCATTTGATCAATAAATATGAGAGATGCCCTCTCAAAAATAAAAAATAAAAAATTAAAGAAAATTTTTAAAAAAATCTGTGGTAAAGTATACAGAAAAAAAAAAAGATCTAGGTAACAAAATGAGAAATTCCCATTTAAAATGTAAACCCCATCAAAGCTTGATTCCTTATAAAGCCTGTGACTGTTGATTCAGGCTCACAGCTTTCTTCATTCAGGAAGCAAAAAATTCACCTCCCTGAGGGATTGATTTTTCCTCTGGCAGGTTTGCTGTTCATTCAAATCTCACAGGCTTTCCCTTTATAAAGAAACAGGTCTCTCCAACATCCAATTTTGTTTCAAACCACATGTATTTTCATTCAATTACATATATTACCTAATACCAATATACTATACCTCTTAAGACTCTTCTCCCGTTTAAGCATATCTCAAGATGTTAATACCTTGGGGATCTCTTAAGTAAAAATTCCTCAGTATATTCAAACCAGTTTGGCTCTTCTCCTCAACTTTGATTAGAGTTATTTCCAGATTCAAGTCTTTTCATGTCAGTCCACACAGAAGGTAGCAAGGACCAATGGAATCCTTTGTCTTGGGTGGGAAAGGGCAGGGTGCATGTAATTCAGAGACAGAATTACAGTTAACATTAAAAAAACTGGTAGCAGAATTCATTTACCAACTTTGGTGCTTAAGAAACTTCCATATCAGATCCTTTTCCTGATCATTTAAAGAATTTTTAACATTTCTTCAATCTCTATTCTTTTACTAGAATCTCTTTAAAATCGCTCAGATCCAATGCTAAGAACTCTGTAAGTGTAGGCTAGAAATAAAAAATTGTTTTACAGGAAACAAGTATCTCAGTTCACCATTCTCCTAATTGATCTGAAAATCATCTGTCTTCTATTTACTGTGACCCAAGTATAGAGATTTTTTTTTCCTCAGCATTCAACAACCTAAACTTTTCTGCTGTGATGGTCAGACACCAAAGTTTGAGAGAAATGTATCTACCACTTTCCAGGTCTTGATAAATTTGCAATGAGTTACAACTGCTTCTGGAGTCCAGAAAAAGAATGCACAATTAGAACACATCTCCACAAGGCAATTTTTAAATCAGTGGTACTAACCAAACATTCAAATCCATTGTCAAAGCCATGAAGGAGAAGACTGGGAAATGAGTTCATTAACTTGATAAGGAGAGGAATGAGCAAGCTAGCATTTTTTGAATGTCTGTATATTATATTTCACCTCATCATCCCTAAATATGAATTGGACTAAAATTTTATGGTTGACCCATGACAGAAGCTCAAGTCCAAAAGAAATCTCCCAGGTTTTTGTTTTAATCCCCAACTATAGCCTGAAAGACAACAAACTACCTGCTTGAATTTTTCATACCTCATCTTTCAAATTAAGATCCATGTAGAGCTGCACATAGCAGCTAGCTACCAGAGAGATATAGTTAGGTATGCACCTAGAAGACAATTCCTTGATGCAGATAACTAAATGCCTGATAAATATTACCAGAGGGGCAATAAATGTGCAAAAAAACATTACTATTCACAAGCACTGGACAAACACTGTAGACATACTAAGATCCACCACTGAACCCTATCAATTTTAGAGTTGGAAGACAGTTTAGAAATGATGAGAAAAATGGGATTGAACAGATTGACTTTCTCAAAGTCATACAAACAGGGCAGAATCTTTGTGTAATGCCTTCCCTTCTACATTATAGCTATTATTTTTTTCAATAACTCTTCCGAGTCAAAATGTCATTTAAAGTACCCAGAAATCACCTGACAACAGGTATTTTCCAGTGGATGCTAACAGTTTTCTACCTTTCCTCCTCTTCCCCAGCATCCACCTAACACTAACTGCACAGCACTCCTTCTGCTCCAGCAGTGGCTGGTTTTTCTTTCAAGGTGGTCTTTTGTACGCCTGGGATACTCTTCACTCTCATCTCCCCCATTTTTGCTTTTGTTTTTAAACCACTCCTTTCTTCCCACAACATACAAAATAAGAGCTCTCTCAAATCATTTTAATAACCGGGCAGTGATTCAAAATAAGAAAAGATTCGATCTTGTTCCCTTGAAGAGGGACGCTACTACGATTGCCTCACAAAAGCATGATCAAATGCAGTGATGAGACCGGATTACAAAGAGCAAGGGCGGTAAGAAGGCTTCAAGGCTGACAGACTGAAGGGCCTCGTTTCGTAATCTCTGAGGGGCAGCAGGCGGCACCGAGGCATTAAACGTAAGGGGCCCTCAGAGAACAGGACGCGGCTGCTGGGTCATGAGCACCTTGAAGCGTTTCTTGACGGTGATTCGGTGTCGAGAGTATTTGTCGTCCGGGGAGAATCGAGCAGGATGGGCCGAACAGGTCTGTTGTCCCATAGGGTCAAGTTTCTGCTCGAGAAAAAAAGTGAGAACAAAATCTTAGTACGAAAACTCAATCGCTGGCGTCAATAGACGGAGGTTGGGATAAGGAGGGGGCCGCGCGATAAAGGGCACACGGGAAGACGAGCCGGGACAGTCGGGTCTAGGAGCCACTCCCTCCGGCCTCTACCGCGCCTGGCCCCTGGGCTCCCCAGTTCCGCTCAGCCAGCTGGGCAGCTCAGGGTCTGGTCCCGACCGCTCCCCCCACCTGCACCTGTCGTCATACCCCTGTACAGCCTGTTTCCTCTCCTTACCTTCAGTGTATAGACCCGGTCTCCCTGATCGTTGAGGTAATACTGGAGAAACATTACCACACCGAATCCAGAGGTTCCGCTCCGTCTGCAGCTCGGTCTCACTAACGGCCTCACGTGTTCGTCAATTTCCTTCCGAATAGCCGGACGTCTCTCCCAGGGCATGCCGGGAAATGTAGTTCGTTTGGGCCTTTCTCCAGTTGGCCAGAAGGGGGCGCACAGAAGAGTGCAGGACTTGGCCCAGTTGCAACATTGAGGGCGTTGGCTCCCAGTTGCAACTTTGCAGGTGTTCTAAGACACGGGGAGTGTGCCCACCGTGTACCAGACATTGCTATGACTTAGAGGGGGGTGTGGATGGGGATGGTTTGAATATTAACGAATAAAATCCTGTCTTTATCCCAAGATACACACCCATTTCAGGGGCAGTGTTTTTCTAGTGCCTAGAGTAACAAGAAGTCCACGATTCAGAGCCCCTTTACCTTAAGGAAGAAAGAAGAAAGTTTTATTCCTCCCCTCTTTTACGTCCAGTTCTCTTGCCCAATTGCAAAGTATTGGCGGTAAAGACTGCATGACGGGTATTCGGTCTTATGTACAGCGAAGAGAGCGCTGAAGTGATTTTATGAAACTGGTGAAGTATGTTTTAGTGGTGGAACTAAGATTCAAACTCAGGTCTCTTTACCACAAATTAAGCGCTTTTTCTTTTAGTGGTGAGTAACTAATTATAATATAATAAGATGCACGCTGGGGGTGTTTAGAATTTCTCAACGAATGTAGAAATTCTTATAGGACTCTAAAAAATGATAACTGAAGAGCCCCAATATCATTAGAAAGATATCTTTGTAGTATTTTTTATAATGGCAAAACCGTTGAAACATGTTCATTTTATAACCAGAAAATATGAAAATTTTTCTTTTAAGAATATAATTTGTATATACTTGTAGTTGCATAAAATAGTTCTGCAAGTTTCCTCTGGGATGAAGAACTCGGTTCCAGAGGAAAGGAGTCAGAGGCGAGACTCGTTGTGTATTCCATTTTGAAATTTGACTTTTGAACCGCGCTGATTCAACTATTTAAAAATTTTAAATTATTTAACAAAAATTTTAAACAACAAAATAATTTAGCAAACAAAAAGAAGGACCTTGGGGGTTTGAAATTTTAGGCTGAATGGCAGTTTTTGATGAAGTGGGGCTTTTCAGCCAAGGGCAAGGTTGAACCTTCTTGGGTTTGGGAACTGGAGGACAGCTTTCCAAGGAAACGATCTGCATACAGCAGTCCCAACACCCTAGGATCTTCTGAGGCAATCCTCATTTCAAACATTCTGTTCCTTTGATCCTTAAATATACAGACTATGTGCTCTGATCGTTGTTCAGAAAATTTAGCCAACATAGAAATAAGTCAAGGGTATGCCACATCCTGGTGCTAATAAGGAAGTCAGTTACAGAACTGTGTGGGATTGAAGGGGACAAACTAGATATATTGATGAAGAATTGTATAGATAACCAAGATGTAAAACCATAGTGTTGGGAATATGAGAAAATCTGCAAATTGCCCACAAAGGTATACAACAATTGAGTTGCCAATATTCTGGTTGGAGAGAATTCCTGGTTACTGCCTACTTACCAGAGCCCTTTGTGGAATATCTTCCTCCCCCCTCCCCCACTGTAGAATGCCTCGAGTCCTAGATTCTAGTTCTGTTTTTTGTTTTGTTTTGTTTTTCATTGGGAATGCTCATTCGGTGAAGAGCATTTTTTTAAATTTTATTTTTATTTTATTTTGGTATCATTAATCTATAATTACATGAAGAACATTATGTTTACTAGGCTCCCCCCTTCACCAAGTCCCCCCACATACCCCTTTCACAGTCACTTGCCATCAGCGTAGTAAGAACTGTAAAATCACTACTTGTCTTCTCTGTGTTGCACAGCCCTCCCCATGCCCCCCCACACTGTACATGCTAATCGTAATGCCCTCTTTCTTTTTCCTGCCCTTGTCCCTCCCTTCCCACCCATCCTCCCCAGTGCCTTTCTAGTTGTGTTTTGATCTGATCTTTCCCTTCTCTTTCTTGGATCCCTGTGTATCTACTGCAGCCAGGTTACTCTCTGGGTGCTCAAACTGACTGTCTCATTCTGGAAGCTTCCGGACAGCCATGGTTAGTACCAAAACCTGAGAGGATGGCTTCAGATGAAGGTAAGTCAGCAGGTGGTGGATAGTCCCTGCCACTTGCTTATATCCTTGGAGACTCAGATTGACACTTAACCTGGGAAGGAGTTATTGGGGCAGACCTAGAGGAATGTGAGGGCACTAGACCTCAGCAAAGGCCTCACACTTGGGGAGGCTAGGGAGGAAGATGGTACCACTAAAACAGGAGGTTGTGGGATGGAGAGCCCGCTGGGAGGCAGATCAAAGCACCTTAGAGCAAGGGGCTGAGCATAGAGAAGAGACTGCAGTTAGCAACTTACTTCTCTGGAATAGGGACCCCTGGCCCTGCCCCTAACTTCCTGTGCGGTATAATCGCACAGAGAGGGTTCAGGGGAAAGGTGCAGGCTCCTGTGTCTTTTTCAGGCAACTGGAGCCTGCTCTAGAATTTTGCTCTTAGAGAATTGAGCTGGAACTACTCTTAACCTTACTGGGGTGGATGAGGGGTCATGGGGTTTGTGTGGAGGCCTTAGCTGGAAATCTGTTGCCAAGTCTGTAGAGAAATGTCCTCCCACAAATTAGACTGGAAGGTTCTTTAAGTGCCTCTGCTCAAAGCCTCATAGCTCCTTCCAGTCCCAAACATGGCTCTCTTTCAGTTAGAGGAGCAACTAGGTTTCCTTGATTCCATAGGGCCAGTGGAGGTGGGTCACTCCAGCCAGGATGAGAGCTGGGACTTGCCAGAAATGCTCTGTTTTTCTACCTTTTATGGAACTCAGGCCTTCAGACCCCTCTCATTGTGTTGCGTGCTGGGTGGAATACTCCTGGCTCTGTGTTCTATGGTTGAGAAGCTGAGTTTCCTCATATTCCATGGCTCCTTCATGCTTAGGAAGTGGAAGCTGAGTGTCATTAGTTTGCCCATGGAATATTCTTTATATAAGGGGGAGGAGAGTAACATGAATTCAGGCTGATGATATTCTATTATTATTTTTAAGTCCTAGGAGGCACATGTCTTGATTAATTAGGTATGTTTTTTATGTATTTATCCTTGCTTTGACTGGACTCTACATAGCTCTCCTCTGCAGGTACTTTTCTTCAGACTTCATGTTTCATGGCTTGTTCTTAAGGACCATTTATTTATTTATTTATTTATTTATTTATTTATTTATTTATTGGTATCATTAATCTACAATTACATGAGCAACTTTGTGGTTACTAGACTCCCCCAATCATCAAGTCCCCACCACATACCCCATTACAGTCACTGTCCATCAGTGTAGTAAGATGCTGTAGAGTCATTACTTACCTTCTCTGTGTGTACTGCCTTCCCCCTGCCACCTCCTCACATTATGTCTGCTAATTATAATGCTTGTTTTTCCCTCTTATCCCTCCCTTCCCACCCATCCTCCCCAGGCCATTTCGCTTTGGTAACTGTTAGTCCATTCTTGGGTTCTGTGATTCTGCTGCTGTTTTGTTCTTTCAGGTTTTTTCTTTGTTCTTATACTCCACATATGAGTGAAATCATTTGATACTTGTCTTTTTCCACCTGGCTTACTTCACTCAGCATAATACCCTCTAGCTCCATCCATGTTGTTGAGAATGGTAAGATTTGTTTTCTTCTTATGGCTGAATAATATTCCATTGTCTATATGTATCACATCTTCTTTATCCATTCATCTACTGATGGACACTTAGGTTGCTTCCATTTCTTGGCTATTGTACATAGTGCTGCAATAAACATAGGGGTCCATATGTCTTTTTCAAACTGGCTGCTGTATTCTTAGGGTAAATTCCTAAGAGTGGAATTCCTAGGTCAAATGGTATTTCTTTTTTGAGGAATCTCCATACTGCTTTCCACAATGGTTGAACTACTTTACATTCCTACCAACAGTGTAGGAGGGTTCCCCTTTCTCCACAACCTCGCCAACATTTGTTGTTGTTTGTCTTTTGGAAGATGGCCATCCTTACTGGGGTGAGGTGATATCTCATTGTGGTTTTAATTTGCATTTCTCTGATGATTGGTGATGTGGAGCATCTTTTCATGTGCCTGTTGGCCATCTGAATTTCTTCTTTGGAGAAGTGTGTGTTCAGATCCTCTGCCCATTTTTTAATTGGATTATTTGCTTTTTGTTTGTTGAGGTGTGTGAGCTCTTTATATATTTTGGATGTCAACCCTTTATCGGATATGTCATTTATGAATATATTCTCCCATACTGTAGGATGTCTTTTTGTTCTATTGATGGTGTCCTTTGCTGTACAGAAGCTTTTCAGCTTGATATAGTCCCACTTGTTCATTTTTGCCTTTGTTTCCCTTGTATGGACCTTACATTTCTGATGGCAGGATCTCCAAGCAGAAGGATGCTGATAGTCTGCATTGCCAAATTTTAACATGTCCAGCGGCTACTTAAAGCTCTGGGCATCTCTCTCCCCAGACTGCCCTCTCCTCACTTTTCCTGGCCCTTATCTCTATTCATTCCTGGCTGTTAAGAAACAACATTTCTGGGAACTGAACATCTAATCCACACACCCACTTCTGGAAACAGTGCTTCTGTGGGTGGTGGGACCACAGTGCAGCTAGGAGCAGGATTCAGTTGGCTGGAATGAGTTTGGAATGGGTGGGATTAAGGGATCTACCTCTTTGCTGGGTGGCATGTGCTGTGGGGTATGAGCTCATGGCTCCAAGGGTCCCTGCAACTTCTCTAGTGGATAATTCTCAGTTAGGAATAAGGGACTTCAAAATTACTTGGGGAACATTTGTAAACCATTTAAGTTCCCTCTCCATAGTTCTTCCCCTCCCTTCCCTGTTGAGAATCAGTGTTCTGATTTTTCAGGACTAAAGTAGAATTCTGATGGCCTAACTTCTAGTGTCCTTTTCTCCTACTCCATCTCCCCCCACACCTGTTTTTTTGTCTCAACAGCATCTCCATTGCCAGGACCAGATATGACCATGACACATGGTGCCACCCTGTCTCATTTCTCTGAACTTCCCTTCCCCCCACCTGCTCCTGGCCCACCAGACCAACCACCCTGGGAGCCACCTCCACAGCCCCCTGTGCCTGTAGCCTTCTCTCCAGGCACCCCTGTGATGCTCTCTGCTCTCCCCAGCCCATTGCTGGTGACAGGGGATGCGGGTTCTGGCCCCAGTGGGGCTGGAGCTGGCAAAGTTATTGTCAAAGTCAAGACAGAAGGAGGGCCAGCTGAGCTGTCTCAAACCCAGAGCTTTCTTCTTACTCAGACAGCCCTCAATTGGCTTACTTCAGACACTCCCTGCAGGGGCCCTAAGGATACTCCCCCTCAATTTGTGGCAGCCTCTAATGTGAAGACCCTTCTGTCCACTAAGGCTGTTGGGAGGATCCAGGAGGGCCTCCCAGGCCTGCCTGGTCAGGCTCCACCACCAGCTGCCCAGCTGGCCCCCACTGTGCCCCGGGAAAAGGCTTGGCCAGGGCCACAAGCTGCTGAGGAAGGAAGCCCTGCATCTGCCTGGCCCAAGCTGTCACTGGGTGACCTCTGCTATACCTCCAAGGGTGTTTATGAGAATTTCCGTAGCTGGCAGAGCTACAAAGCCTTGGCTCGGAGGCACTTACCCCAAAGTCCTGATACAGAAGCACTTTCCTGCTTTCTTATGTAAGTGGGGAGACTTGAGATTAATTATCTAGGGCTCTTAAGTAGGGAGGGCTTTGGGATGAGAAAAGAGATTAGGCTTTGTAGGGGCACTTGAAGGCTGGTCGGTCCGTGAGTGCAGTGGAGATGCTCTGAGAACAAAGCGTAATGATGACAAGGTGGTGATGACGGTGATGGTGATAAGCCTCTTTACCTACTTCCTGATTGTAACAAGCCTGCAGGTGGCCTTCTCAAGTGTTCTTCATAACCCTGTGAGCTCAGGCAAGCATTTTTATGATCATCTCATTTATAGATGAGAAGACTGAAGCTCAGAGAGGTTTACTGCCATAAAGCGGGGAGCAATGGTTGGAAGTTAAGTCTCTGACACCAAGTGCCAGGTCCTTCTGTTCTGTTTTACCACCTCTGACATGGGGCTGAGACATCCACCTTGGCCAGGATGTGGAGTGCGGGGCCCTGACCCATTTCTGTGGGAGGGGGAGGTCAGTGCAGGGTTAGGCAAAGAACCTGTATGTGTCACTCCCTCCACCATCCTCTATTTTATTCAGGAAAATTCAAGTTGAAATAGGGAGGTGGTAAACCTTGCTTAGTGGTCAAAGGCCTAGGCTCCACCTCTCATTAGATTTGTGATCCTGGGTCTGACATTTAATATCTTGGCCCTCGGTGTTCTCATCTATAAGGGGATCATTCCTCTTCAGAGGGATGCTGAGAAGATAAAATGAGTTAACATATATGAAGTGCTTAGCAGAATGCCTGGCACAGAGAATGACTCATTAAATGGTAGCTGCTATTATTATTATTAATGATTACAAAAAGGCAATCTAGAAGAGGAAAAAATCTCACAAAAGGCCAGAATGTCTGTGTGAGTGGATGTTTAGCCAAGGAGCTGGAGGCCATGGGCTGTCTGTGGTGTTAATAAAGCAGTCATTAGCCTTCTGGGGAATTTTCTCTTCTTCCCACCCAGACCTGCTGCCCCACTCAACTGCACTGTATTTGCAGTATTTTGTGTAAACCATTATTAACTCATTCTGCATTTGACTGGATTGAAAAAAATGTACGTGTTGTTCTCCCAGTGACTGAATTTCTAAAGGAATCTATCTACCTTTCCGCCCAGACTCTGGAGTGAATTAATCAGAAGGCTCCCTCAGAGTCCTTGGGGTAGATCATCTTCCTGACTCCCTGCTTTCTCCAGACAACTCTGAGTTCTGTGTCAGGGCACAGTAGGCTGAATTTATAACTCCTGGCCTATTCTTGTTCTCCATGCTCAGGAGCAGTAGGCAGGTATAGTCCAGACCCTCTGCAGCAGTCACCGGGGAAGCTGGTAAAATGCTCAGTCCTGGGAGAGGCACTGGAACCCATTTTTATAAAAAGCCCGTCCAGGTTCTAGGCAGAATAATGCTGAGGATTCCTGGGAAGTCAGAAGGTCTTTGTGAATCACAAAGACCTCAAAGAGCCCTGATATTTGACTCCTTATGAACCCTTTCCTTCAAGCTTAACTTCCATTTTCTCCCCCAAATCTGGACCCATACTTGCTAGATGCTACATCCCAAATGTAACCATCACTTAAAAATAAACAAATAAAAATACCACACAACCTTTAATTAGAGATTATTTGGGTTAGTGAGTGCCTTTTTTTTTTTTTAAGGCAAGAACTTTTGGGCAGGCCAAGCCTACTTTACAATTAACTCCATTAATTTAATAAGGAGTGCTTTCTTCCTAATGTTTCATTGAGGATAGTACTGTGAGCATTAAGGGTGCTTGATTTCAAAAGGTGGGGAAAAGAATCACCTTCTTGATTTGTGTGGGATTTGTAAATCTCAGTAGGAAGAAAGGTCAGTTATGGTGAATGAATGGATGGGGGTCTGGGGTCTGGAAGTCTCATCAGATGTGGGAAGTGGCAGGGACTGAGGGACATGTCAGATCTGATGAGGGGCAGGGAGTGTGTATCAAGGTGGGTGTCAGGACAGGTGGATGGGGTCACACTTGTAGAACATGACTGACCCAGTGGCTGTTTCAGCCCAGTGCTTCGGTCCCTGACTCGGCTGAAGCCCACTGTGACCCTGGAGGAGGGACTGTCAAGGGCTGTTTGGGAGTGGGAGCACACCAGCAAACTATGACCGGATCATCTTTTATGACATGGCAGAAAAGTGAGTCTGACTAACCCTCTTCCCCCCAGGTGGGGTGGGTGGCTGAGGGATGGGGGCAGGTAACCAAGGCCTAGGTCTGGCTGTATGGGTGATTTTAAAAGGGATCGGAGGAAGAGGGGTGTAGACTAGGATAGGGTTTCCTGGATCCTTGCTGCTGCTTTGACAACCTTAACTCTTGGGTTTTTCTGTCCTATCTCCATTCAGAAGCTCCCCCTTCTCCACGTCTTGAATTATGTAGAGGCCTTGATACAGAAGCTGGTAGGATGGGATTGGAGCCCACTTGATGTAAAAATTCCATGCTGAAGGGACCTATCAATGAGGAGGCAGGCCCTACTAGGCAGGTTCTTTTCTGTTTCACTAACCAGGTAGCAAGTGGCCATTGATGCAGACCTTGGGACCACTCCTCTGGAAATAGTGGCACAGAAATAGTTTACCTCATCATCTCAGGAAGGGGCTGGTTCTTGAAGAGGTTGGTCAGGGGAAGGTCGTAGATTCCCAGAGTGGTCTCCTGGTTCATATCTCCCATTTCTCCATGACAATCTCCTTGGTTAGAAAAACAACTCTGAGGAAAATGAACCCTTTCCTCCAAGCTTAACTTCCACTTTCTCCACCAAATCTGGACCCAGACTTGCTAGATTTACCCTTCCAGGGCCCCAGTCCCAGCCTCAGGACTCTTGGATCTCAGCTCTGCCTCCTGGTGGGAACTTTCTTGAATTGCAACCCGAGGCCCTGCTTCAGGAGTTGGGCCATTCTTTATGGAGCAGGGGCAGAGGCCTGGTTGAATTCAACAAGTCTGTATTAATTGCTGCTTTATACCCTCTGTGATGCCGGGCGAGCTAGGGTATGAAAAAAAGTGAAAGCCATGGTCTGTCCTGGAGAAGTTTATAAACTCTAGATGGTTCATTTTCTTAACAAGCTTCCTAAATGATGACTGCAAGTGAAGGGACTCTGTGGTGACATTGTAAGTTTTCCCCAGAAGTGTTGTTCAGCTGCTCCCTGCTGGTGTCTGGCATCTCAGTTCCTAATGGGTCTGGCATTTTCAGCAATGCCTGGGCCTTCCTCACCCTCTGCAGGTTCATGGAGTTTGAGGCCGAGGAGGAGATGTAGATACAGAACACACAACTGATGAATGGGTCCCAGGGCCCACCTCCTACCACACCTCTGAAACTTGACCCTCCAGGGCCCCTGGCCCCTGAGGTTTCCCAGCAGCCATGTAAGGCTACCCAATTCCATTAGGAACTGTGGGCCAAAGACTCAAAATCTTTCTGGTGTGCAGAAACCAGTCATGGGTTAGGGAAGGCATTGCTCTCTCTTCTGTCACTTTCCCTCACACAGGACAGACGTAGGAGGCTGGGTTCTTAGGTTCCTTTTGTCCCAGACTAGGTACTGATCTTGGCCAAGTGAACCAGCTACTTGCTCACTGAGATCGTAAATAAGGCACAAAATGCCTCATCTGCTTCAGAAACAAGGGTTGGATCAGGGGAATTTTTTGAAATTTCAGGGGTTGCTAGATTCCTCATACAGTGCTTCTCTTAGACTCTCTAGCTCCTAAAAATCTTCTCCCACAGCTGGTACTGGTACTGTTTTAGGTTGGCCTGATGCAGCCAGAACCATTTCAGTGTACTCACTTACTGCCCTTACAAACATAGGGTTGGGAGGCAGACACCGCAGTCACTGGCTGCATCCCATTTTTCCTTTCCATCTCTTCCCTCAGTGTACATTCCCAAGACAACCGCCAAAGCACGGGCCCCCCACCGGCGGCAGCGCAAAACCGTGAAGCCTCCAGCTCCCAAGGCACCCAAGGAGATCCCCCCAGAAGCTGTCAAAGAGTATGCTGACATCATGGAAGGGCTGGTGAGGAGTCACCTGGCCACTGGGGAGTCAGATGGAGAACAGGAAAAGGAAGAACAGCAGCAGGAGGATGGGATGTATCCAGATCCAGGTCTCTTGAGCTATATTGATGAGCTTTGTTCTCAGGAGGCCTTTGTCTCCAAGGTGAGCTGGGCCTGGGTGTCTGGTTTCTAGCAGATCCTGGGGTGGGAACTCCATGGAACCAAACACTAGTTTTGCCCAAGGCATTGAAGAACTGTACTGTGAAAACGTGTGTGCATGCACAAACACATGTATGTAGCTGGTGGTGGTCATGGTTTGTAACAGCTCTGAGGGATGGTAGTGGTGGGGGATCTGGGCTGGGGGCAAGGGGCACACAGGGCTTCTCTAGAGCCTCTTGGCTCACAGGTTACTTCCTAAGGACTCATGTCACTTTTCCTTCTATTCCCTAGGTGGAGGGTGTCATTCATCCTCGATTTCTGGAAGATCTCCTGTCCCCAGAACAAGAGAGGGATCCGTTGGCCTTAATTGAGGAGCTGGAGCAAGAAGAAGAATTCAGTCTTGATGAGGTAAACCTGGGAGATGAGGCGTATTAGAGCAGGAAGCTCAAGGGATTTCACTTAACTCTACATTGACTTGGTTGGTATGACTTCTGGAGATGAACAGCTTCAGGATTGGGTATTGTATGCAGAACAAGTAGGCAAGGGACTGTGGAAACGCAGGAAAACGGGTGTGTGTGAGAGCTCAAGAGCAGAGGAATAAGGCCCAAAAAGGCAGAAAAGAAGTTACAGTATGTTACCAACTACTTAAGCCACTTGCTTACATTCTCTGCCCTGCCCAAGTGCCATCTCATCACCCTGTCAGCTACCCTATCTCACAACCACGTGTAGAATGCTATTTGTCCTTTCTCCTTCCAGCTGGTCCAGAAGCGACTCCTGGCGTTGGAAGAGGAGGTTGCAGAGGCACCTCCAAGTTGCAGTGGAGCTCAATCAGACTCAAGCCCTTCTGTTTCTGATGAGGACGAAGATGGGGGTGGGCAGCTTTGGCCCTCACCTGGGCCTAGGGTGGCTGGGGGTACTGTTCGTCTTGGAAAGCCTGCCTCTCCAGGGAAGAGGGCAAGAGATGTGCATGGTGGGCAGGAGCAGGCCCTAGACAGCCTGAGGGGGGTGCACAGGGATGGGCACACTCTGCCAGCTTCCAGCAGCTGGGACCTGCAGCTAGAACTTGCAGGTCCACAGGGAACTCAAGGGCCCGTAGGTAGGGAGAGAAGAGGGCCTGGGGAAGTTACAAACCAGATATCCCATCAAAATGACCACCTGGGAGGTGCTGCGTCCCCTGGGCACTCCCAGGTGGCTGACAGGACTTCCATGGCTCTGCTCCTTTGCTGGCAGGAAGATCCCCAGCTCGAGAGAGTTCCCAGTTTGGACGCTGGGGTTGCAGAGCTGGTTCCTATGCAAGGACAGGCGTTCAAAAAGCAGGTCCTTGAGTTGCAGACAGGACAACAGACAGTGGGTCTTGGAGTGCCTCCCCAAGGGAAGGAGCCATTAGCAGTGTCCCAGGAAGGCTCTTCAGGAGCCATGTGGGGAGATGACAGAGGTTCTCCCATGGTTCAGAGTTGTGATCCCAACACTTCCTCTAGAGCAGCTGGGGATGGAGACAGGGATGGGGAAGGGGCCTCTCTCAGTCCAGGACTTGGGCTGAGCAGTGAGATGGATTCTGTAGGCTTGGAGTTGCCCTTACAAATCGAGGTCATAGAGAAGCACAATGTGGAATGTGTAACTGAACATGAGGGAGGCTGCCAGGCACTAGACTCTGGAAGCAACATTTCTCTGGGTCCTGGAGAAGCCACACCACCTGGGGATGTGGGGAACAGTACAACTCCCTGTGCAGGCACAGACACCACAGATGTCCCAGAAAAGAAAAACTGCAGCTTGTCAGGACCTCTGAGGGCCAATAGCCCAGCCTTGAGCCTTAAAAAAAATGGAGAGCAGAGCCCTGAGACCATATGGGATCCCAGTGATCCATGGGCTAATGGATTCTCCCCATTGCTAAGCAGAATTGGTGCCTCCACGCTGGGGGCTTCCAAAGAAACCCCTCGGCCTGCATGTGAAGGCAAGATCCTTATTCTGGGGACTCAGGATACCTCTTCCTTCCAGACCAGCCTGAAGGGAGGGAACAGAAGCAACTCCATTTCTCCTCCGTTAGAAACCACAAAACACATTAACAAACTAGATAATAAGCATGTCTATGGCTTCCAGCTTGAGGTCAGTGAGGACACTTGTCCACCAAATCTTAATTCTTGTGACCCTCAGGGAGAAGGCAGGGAAGACAGTGATTTATCCAAGCCTAAGGACCTAGTTCCCTTACCAGGGAATCAACAGCCTTCTGCACCTGGGAACCCCAAGCCAACATCTCCTCACAAGGGCCTTGGAAGCACTTCCCTTAGCTGGGAAACCAGGGATGCCTTAGTTCTGAGCAAAGCCTCTCCTGCCAGTGAAACAAACAGTTCAGCAGATGGGGCCAAAGGAAAGGAGGAGCAGCAGGAAGAGGAAGATGAGGAACTCTCCACCTTTGCCTACCTCCTGGCTTCTAAACTTAGCCTGTCGCAGAGGCCTCTGCTCGGTCCTCACCCTGCCATGGGCCTGCCTTCCACAGGTCGGGGGGTCCAGAGAGCATCCCACTCCCACTCTGCTGAGAGAAGAGGCCTTGGCCAGCCTCCACGTCCTGTTGCCAAGTCTGGGAAGCGAGCTCTAGCTGGAGGTCCAGCCCTTACTGAAGAGAAACGCTACGTGAGAGCTGAGGCTGGGGTCTCAGGGGAGAAATCCCAGGCTCCGGGAGGTGTTCAACCCTCACAGCCTTGTAAAAGGCAGTGTGACGCTTATGGCACAGGCAGAAAGAAGAAACAATGTAGGAAGTGGGACCATCCTGTCCCACCTGCCAAACCCTCCAAGTAGATTTTAACCCAGCTGCACACCAACAGGCTAGCTTTCCTCCGTTTTGTTGCTCTGTGAAAGGGGTGAGCATGGGCTAGGTGATCAGACTGTCTAGTTTGGAGGTAGTCACCTTGGTGGGAGATAGGGATAAGTACCTTTGGAGGAGTACGGGAAAAAAAGAATAAAGATGTTTTTGTTGGAATATGCTCTCAATATGCCTGTTTGTGCTCATGTCTTTGCTGCTGAATGGGTAAGATGCTGAAACGAGGCAAGAAGTGGGGTGGTTCTGGATTTGACAGAACTAGCTACCTTTGCAGCCCCCTGCCCTATCTAGGTTCCCTGGCAAGCCTGACGTCTTGTCCCCAGTGGTCACCTTATTTCTTCCTCATTAAAAGCCTGGACTTGATGTTAGAAGGACTTCTCTGGAGGGTCTATCATTAACTAACTCCCTTTAAAAGTCTAGATGGAAAGATGCTTTTTTTCACCTGCCTGATCTGTCTGATACAGGTATCTAATTCATTTTCTGTAATTTTATCTAGATGCAGCATCTTCTTGGGGGGTGGTACTTGTTTTCTTCTTCCTTAGAGGCTGGACTTCAGTGTTCTCAACTCATCCCACGACAGAAAACCCTCCTGTGGAACTGTTCTGTGCTGCATGGAGGAGGCTGGGCTCCACTGACTGACACAGCTCTCTGCTCCTGGTATGGGAGGGGAAATCATTGTCATTAGATTAAATATGAAATGGTAGTTAGCTATTTTTTAATCTCTAATTGAGGACAGAACAAGAGGGAATAGGCTGAAAAGCGGTTCATGAGCAAGCCTGTCGAAATGAGCTGCTGTAGGATATGACAGTAGGAGGCGGGAGATGAGACTGCATGATTACTGGGCAGGAAGAGGCCTATCCAGCTGGAAGTGAGGATTCATGCAGCTGCGGTTATGAGGACTGACCTTGGGAACCCTCAGGATTCAACCATTCACTCATTTCCTTCCCAGCTGATGATACTGGCAACATGACTCAACATCACTTTTTTAAATAGATATAGATATATATTTATATATAAAATAGTCAAGCAGGAGCAGAGATGGGCTTGAGGCCCGGGACGTGCCCCCGGTGCTGCCCTGAGTCTGCAGGCTGGATGCAAGCGGGGTGGCCGAGGTGCTCAGTCCCCCTTCTGCTTGGGTACAGGCACAGCCCCGTTGGCCAGAGCACTGGGGCTGCCTGGGGACGAAGCGTTCGGTATCTGGGAGGGACGCAGGTAGGTGCTGAAGAGCTTCCCGTGGAGTGGGTCACGGAGGGAGAAGTCCTGGAACTGCCCTGGAAGGACAGGAGAGAGATGGGGATGAGAAAAATGGTCTGGAAAGGAGGGGAAGAGGGTTCCCCTACTCTTTTCTCAGAATTGCTATGTCCAAGCCCTCTCATCTCTGCTTCACTTCTCAGAGCCAAGCTTATATCCTCTCTGCCTTCCCAGCCAGCTCCTCCCAGCCCTGCTGCTGCCCCCAAGGCTGCCTCTCAGGTGTTCTGACCCCCAGCACTGGCCACCAGCCCAGTGCCCACATGGCCGGAAGGCGCTGACTCACAGAGGGAGAGGCCTTGGCAGGCTCCCGCCTGGCACAGCTCAGCATGCAAAGTTGCGGCAGCAGGGCGTGGTGACCCCAGCAGCAGGTGCAGGATGGCGCTGAAGCCATCTTTGTACAGCAGGTGGCTGGGCTCCTCTGACTGCTCCTCGGCAAAGAGCTGGGAGAGAAAAGGGACGTGAGTCAAGCCACTGCCTTGTGCCACTGCCCCTCAGGTTTGCCCGACAAGCTGTTTCTAAGAGTGCGAAGCACAGGGCCTCTCCACACCCCTGGGCCCTTTGTGCAGAATGTGAACTTTATAGCTGTGGTCCTCTTCCTGTTCCCAATGAGGCCTCAACATAGAGACATGTGGTTGTGAAGCTTAGATTGTGGCACTGGGGTGGCCAGCACCTACTATCTAGAAGATCCTGGGAATAGCACATCCCAAAGGTCTCTGCGTGGGATAAGCAGAGCCACATGTGCCCCTCCAATCTCCTGATACCTCGAAGGCCAGGCACATCAATTCCTCCAGGCTCCTGCCCCCATCCAGAGCTGCCAACGCAAGGGCCACATCTCGGAAGTCCACTAAACCTCTGGCATCCTGGAGAGTAAAAAAGAAACCAGGGAAATGTGATGACCACCCCTGACTTCTCCCTCCTCCTCCATGGCAGGCATGATAGTGAACCCTAACTCTGCTTTCCTCAGAGCTATGAACCCTGAGATCTCTCGGGTAATGTGTTTGCTCAAGCTATACCTGCCAGTCACCTGGTGACAAAACTTCCCTACAATGGGATCTCCTAGGGATGTTAGGGAAGCCCTCATGAATGCTGAATCTGATGGCCCTCATGGCCCTCAAGCTAGAAAAACTGGTTCTGTCTGACTGCCTATGTGGAGGAACTGGTCCAGCAGACTGAAAGGAGGCTACTGGCATAATTTCTTAGGAGAAGAAAAGCCCGAGGAGGATGCATGCTGTAATGACACTGGGTGACCTTGGCATTCACATTTTGGTTGTTCTGCTACAGACTAAGTGGAAAAGCTCCCACCCAGGAGAGTCTGCTCCAATCTGAGGAATCAACACACCCAGGTTACTCTGTCCCTTTGGAGGACGTTGAGATCCACTGTGTGCATCTTAGATCAAAAAGAGCTCCATGGGATCACTGGTGGTTGTTTGTAAACATTAAGAATCTTCTGGGATTATTATAATTGGACAGAAAAACTTGGTTAAGTCCCAGGAAATATATAGTTTACCAAGATTGTTGAGAAAGTTCAGGAATCCCCCAGAGAAACTGTGGAATTAAAAAAAAATTTGCCTAAGGATTACAAATTACTTCTGGGTCTCAAACTCAGACCTGTCTGGCATTGTCTTCTCTGTGTCTTCTTCCCACTTAACCTTCATGATTTTTCTCTGAAACCCTCACATTGTGCCACACAAGGTCATGACTCCCTATCTGCCAATCTCTAACATGGCTTCAGAAATTTGGACCTCACTATTTCTCCATCATTCCCACAAAGGTTAAATATTGCTCTTCAATGCACTGAATACTCTCTTAAGAAATGAATCCCCCAGTGCACCTGAGAAGATGGCCATTTAACAACAGATGCCAGGATTACCTATTAGAATATAAAGCACAGACTCCAATTGGCCATCCAAGCAACTGACACGACCACTCAGACACCACTCTTAAATTCTGAGCCGTCAGCCCGGAAAGCAAGCCTTGGCCTCTGCCCGCTCGTGTCCCAGCTCTTTTACCTGCTGGAAGTAGCTAAAGGCACCAGCCACCGTGTGGGGATCGGAAAGCTGTAGCTGCCTGGCAAACTCTTCCTGGCTGATCATTCGACTCCGGCCTGGCTCTGCTCCAGTGTCCACACAGCCAGGGGACAGCCTGCATTAGAATTGTTGGAAGGCAGAGAGCTGACTCAGTTTCTTGAAGGACACAGCACCCAGCAGGACTGTGGCCCCAGCCCCAAGAGTTCTTCCAGCATAAACACAGCTGGCATTTTCCTAAGATGTACTCTGACTCATAGTCCCTTGAGAATCAGTTCTCTTTTTTTCACTGAGGTCATTACATATCTTGCCTTTTCTTTTTCCCTCCTTCCTGTAATTCTTTTTCCCTCCTTCCTGTAATTCTGTTATCTTAAAAAATTCCTCTATCTTCCCATCTTTTTATTTTTTTTGAAGCCTTTCCTTCTTCTTCCCACTTGTCCCTTTCCTCCTTTTCTCTCGGGGACACTGTCCACATCCTCAGCTCAAGGTCACTTACCCAGCCTTGCGGAGAACCTTCCCCAGTTCCCAGAGCTGTGGCTCCAGCGCCACCTTCAGTCGGCCCACCACAATCACAGGCAAGCTGCCTACAAACTCACATTCGGTGGCTGGGATGCCCAGGGCCCTGCAGCAAGGAGAGATGGGGGGGTGGGGGTGAGGCAGAAAGATCTTCTGAAGGCTCACTACTGGCTTGTCTTCTTACTAGGGAAAGAGCTGGTTCCTTTAACCAGCCCCCTTCAGCCTTAGCCATTCAAAGCCCCCACCCCCCACTGCCAATTGCCCCATCTTCGGCCTTAGGACCTCAGCCCCTTGCCTCTGGTGGTTCCTCCACCCAGTGGTATCTATCCCCGGAAATAGTGTGGGCCACTCACTGTGCCATAACTCTCTGGACGTTGTGGGCATAGAGGGTGGGGTCCCTGCTCTCCTCTGGGCTGGGGTGGTACACGGGGAGAAACTGAAACACACATGCATACATACACACTTCTTACCAGGACTTCAAAGCTAGGGCTGACCATTCCCAACCTTTTCACAAAGCTTCAGGGCTCAGATGTCCATTTTCCTACCCACCCACGGGGTCATACCTCCACGTCCACGATGCTGCAGGGCTGAGAGGCTGTGAGCCAGAGAACTTTGAGTCTAAAAGAAGAGAGACCTCAGATACTCACCAATCCGACTATGGACTTGCTGCGATCACCCCAACCCCCAGGGCAGTGCGGGGACCAGAAAGATGGCGGGGAAGGAGAGGTGCTGCAGAGGCAGGCCCGAGAAAGGGCTGCGGGCGAGAGGAGGCTAGAGCAGCTGGGCAAAGGCGAGAGGCAGGCCCATGTGGTGGTTCTGAGGGGGCAACTGAGGGAGAAAATCACTAAGAAACTCAAAAGTAAGGAAAAAGAAGCTACAATCACAGGAGGAATGATTCAGTGAATAGCTGAAAGCACTTCCAGATTTTATGGAGAGATCAGAACAAAACCAAGGGAAACTGGCTTCCCTTTCTCTAGAGTTCTCTGTCAGAGCCAGAGGGTCATTCACCTTGTCTGGAGATCAGAAGATGGGGCCAGGAATTCTATGAGGGACCCTGCTCCCCACCCTCACCCCAGGAACACCAGAACTCACACTCCAGGGCCCCTCCACGCCCAGCTGGTGGTGTCCTATGGGAGGAGCAGAGGTGAGGGGAGAAAGGCATTACTCTTCTTCCGGGAACCGGCCCACCCTGTCAGCAGAAGCCCTGAACCCGTTCCAGCTCCACCTCCACACTGCACACCCCACCATGGCACTCAGGTTTTCACCAATTCCCATTTCGTGTGGATTTGTGTCCCTGTCCCCGAGTCAGACTCACCAGATTGTTGGGGTAGCGGATGAGGACAGGCTGCACAGGCACCCCTGCGATGAAGGCTCCTAAATCCCATTTCCACCCCCACCCCCCAGGCAGAGGTTAGTGCATAGAGGGAACTAGAGGCATGAAGTGTAGGGTCTTGGGCAGTTGTGAAATGAGACCTGGCCTGGTGCCGTTTCATTTACAATTGTCTCTATGACTCCTGGTGTCAGCTAGGGGCTCTGTCTCCCCCCCGACCCTGCCTCCACCTTCTGGGTTTTTCCTGAGTCCCTCTCCAAATCCGGGGCTCCTTTTTCCTATAGCCTTCCTACCCAGTGTCGTTTTATTCACCTGGTTTGAATTTAAGCAAGGCCTTCTTGTTGGAACAGGTGCCCTCAGGAAAGAATAGTACCTGGGGAAAACACCAAGGGGCCAGAATGAGATAGGGCAGGCTGAAGAGAACCAGCCAAGGGAGCAAAAGCCTCTTTGGAAGCACACGGAAGGGGAGATCTGAAGCCCCTTACCCACCTGGGGCCACTTGCCTCCTGAGGTAGCCCGCCTTCGGACCTCCTCCACCACTCTGCGCCGAGAAGCTGGGTCATGCCGGGATACAAGGATGGCTTGGTTGAAGCGAAGAAGGGCTGGGGTCCAGAGAGGATACAAGGTGTCAGTTGGCTCCTACCTAGGGGGTATTAATATCTGTGGCCTCCCCTTCCTACACAGCGATGTTTCTCAGTTATCTCTCTGACTCTGGGATGCTCCTTTTATTGTACATTGTCCTTTTAAGAAACAGACCAGAGCCCCTTCTAACGCCTTCTCTAAGCCCCAGCCCTCAAAGTCAGAGGCTGGTTCACAAATGGCATTGATCTGCATCTCACTTGCCAGCATCAGTCAGTATTCCCTCTAATTTCTATCTCCAGGAGGCCAGGTCTTCTCTCCAGAATATCTCTGACTCCTGTCTTTTCGCCCAGAGTTGTTCTCTCTCCCCCTCACACGTCTTAAAACTGTCTCACCTCCGATGACAGGCACCGAAAGGTTCTCAGCTCGGGACACAACCTTGGGTAGGTCACAGGGCAGCAGAACAATGGGGTCAAAGAAAGTAGAGTGGGGAGCGGCAACAAGAACAGGCGCTTGAAGGCAGGAGGCTCGCTGGCCTCGAACTCGAATCCGAAGGAAGCCCAGCAGGAAAAAGAGCAGGCGGCTGAGGCCGAGCACCCCATTGTGGCACACAGTCCTGCAGGGCAAGGCTGGCTGTCAGTGCAGGCAGAGATCCTCACCTTCACTCACCCCCATGCTTAGGGACCCAGGAAAGCAGGTGTTCTTCTTTTGCCCTCTATTCCTGGGGCCAAGAGGCTGAAGTCTCTGTGGCTACTTCGGGACATAGTGGGGTGCACCACGTAAGGGCTGAGGTCCTGGCACCAGGTCGGAGTCTGGCTGACCCCTCTCACCTCCCCAGACTGGGTAGGAGAGCTTCAGAAGCCTCCCTCCTCTTTCTCTCAAAGAGGGAGTGGAATGAACAGCATCAAAAAGAAGTGAGTAGTTGGGCCTCTCGGGTCTGATTCCCCCACTTACTTCCTCCATCCTGAAACTGGCTCCTGAAGCTGCTCCTCAGTCAGACCAGCTACTTGAAGCCAGGCAAAGGGCCAGAGGAGAAAGAGGACTACGAAGGCCAGGAGCACTCGGATGGGGGCCAGCAGTGCCCCCAGCAGGCAAAACTGCGAAGAGCGGGAGAGAATGCCACTGCAGGGCGAGGAGGCCGCCCTCCCCAGCTCCCCCTCTCCCACGAGGTGCCCAGGAGAAGACAGCCATCAGCCCCTGTAGACCTGGAAACAGGTGGTATGGGCACAGGAGACGGGGCTAGAATCCAAGGTGCGATGAAGATACCAATGGGGGTAAGAGAATAAAGATTAATAGGATCAGGGACCTCATTTTCCTGTCTTTCAATTGGTCCCTGCAACACGTATAAAACTGAGTGTCACAAAATGCATCTAGCTGCTAATTAGATTTAATGATAACCCCTGAAAAACAAGCCCAGCACACTGCTCGACGTAGAGTGCCTGTGGAGACAGGTCCTCGTCCCCCAAGCCCCATTCCATAAATAGCTCCCATGTCCCAGGGAAACCAGGGGCACAGTTCTTCCCACTTTGGGCCTAGGAGTCAGAGGGGTGAAAACACACGGAGAGGTCCACTTTTCGGGCCGCACGCCAGTCTCTAGCCCAACAGCACTCACCTAGTACGGGAGGATGAGAGAAAGAGGAGCTCGGCCCTGCTCGGCAGCGTGGGGGTTGCCAGGAGCCAGGGTGACTAGGGGCTACCCGGGGGACAGCGCAGGTAAACAAACGGGGCCCCAGGAGCCCGCCTCAGGGGAGGTGATGGCAGCCAACCTTGGCAACTCCCTTTCCATACCACCCGCCAGTTCCCCTAGGCTGATGCAGGCCCTCCACTTCCTGTAGCCAACCTGCTTCTCAGCTGCCCTCCCCCAAACCAGAAGACGCTGCAGTGCGAAGAGACAAAGTGAAAAGAGGCGTTGGGGAGGCACAGGGGCGCAGGCTCCGCGTCCACAAACCTCCTCCCTTTAATTCAGCCTCGTTGAAGCGCTCAGCACGCCCTCGCCCCCACCCCCGGCCTTCCGCAGCCTCCACCTCCATCCTAGCACCACGGCCTCTGCAGGATGTAATCCGCATTCCCAGTAACCTCCATCTCCGCTATCCCTGCGTCCCCTGCAGCCCTCCATCCTTTCCCAGTCAATTCTTCCACACCTTCGGTCTCGTGCATCGCCTAAACCTACAGGGCAACTCGCGCAGACCCCGCCGCCCCCACGTGCGCTTCCACGGACTCCGGCCCCACAAGCCTCTCACCCACCACCTTTCCGGATCTCCATCCCCATCTTTGCCAGGACTATAAACGGCCTTTTTTCCGATCCCCCCGAGTTCTCGCGAAGCCCCCGCCCACACGCTACCTTAATCCTCTGGAGGCGAGAGAAATGTAACTCATGCACGAAGGGGTTGGGGGGCGCTGGGGGTCCGGGGGTGGGATCGAGGGGGGCCCAGTCCCCCGGACTTCTCTGGCTCATCGCGGCGGGAGAAGGTGGGAGGGAGGGCGCCCCGGCCCGCCCCGGCCCCAGCCCCGGGCCCCGCTCTGCAGAGTAGGGGCTGCTGCAACGGCGGCGGCGTCGGCGGCACTCAGGACCCGGCCCCGCCTGGAGCCGGGGGGCGGGGAGCGGGCGGAGCGGCAGGCCCGCGTAGTCAGAGAGCCGGTCGAGGGGCGGGGCTTCCAGGCCCCAGCTGCTCTGCTCCCCGCCGCGACGTCCGCAGCCCCTCCGGCCATTGTTCTGCGGCGGCCGGATGCCGCGGTGCCGCGTTAGCCCGCAGGCTACCCCGGGCCCGGCCCTGCGGCGTTCCTCTCCCAGGACCCGGCAGCCCCCTCTCTCCGCAGTCCTCCGGCTCGGGCGGGTTCGGGGCCGCGGGGTGGGCGCGGAGCCGGGAGCGCGCTATGACCCCGCCCGTACTTGGAGGTCACCCCGCGGGCACAGATCAGGGTGGGGCCTCGGGCGGACGGGGAAGGAAGGGCGGGTGCTGCAGCTGGGGGGCGAGGCGGGGACGGAGTCCCCTCCCCGTGGGCTCTCGGGCCCCAGCCCCCCTCTCCTCGTCTGCCGACCACTTTTCCTTCCTGGCCGCGGCGGCGTCATCCCGCGAGGTTCTGAGACGCTCACGCCCTCTGGCGGCCGCGCACCGTGCCTGCGCTAGACAGGGCCACCTGTTCTGGTGGGGGGATTCCTGGGGGCCGCGAGGCGCCAGCCCTTCGCGACGCGGGCCCTTGTGCCTCCCATGAGTCGGACAGGGCCTGGCTGGGGAGGGACAGTCGGAACCCTGAAAGCTGGGGTGACCCTGGTAGCAGCCGTCTTTTTCCTCCTGGTTTCTCGTTTCTCTCCACTGTGAGTGAGAGGACAAAGCAACTACCAAACTCTACTTGAAAACTCATGAACTGGCCAGTCCCTGGATGTCAGGGAATTGGGTCGACTTTGTGATCCACAGCAAATAATGCAAGAAAGATAGTACTCATGACAGAAAAGGGGTAAGAGCCTTATGGCGTGTGGAAGAAGCTGCCTTCAGTTCCTCTTGTTTTCGTTCTCACTTCTGCATCCCTCAGCTGCAGTCTCATGAGGGTCATGGGAGCAATGGAAGATCAGTGGGCGGCCGGATCATTAGATACCATTAATCTTTTATTGGAAGGGGAGCCAGGAAGAAGCCAGAAGACCTCTACTTATATCTAGACCCTCTTCCTTTCCTGCGCCATACATTACTCTTATACACCTGCCTATATTCTTAAGAGAGCAGTCAGCATTCTCAGAAATAAAGGGGTATCCCAGTCGAGAATTATTTACTTAGGTTCTCAGAAAAGATTCAATAGCACATTTTTTTTTACCTACTATTAAAAATAATTTCCAGCTTTGAGAAACTATTGTAACATGTAAGTTTAAGGTGTACGATGTGCTGATTAGGTACATGTGTATCTTCTATCTGCTATTTAAGGAAGCACGGGTTTCTGTATATCTTAGGTTTTGCAAGGTAGTTCCAGTTTTTTTTATAATTTCTTTTCCTTCAATTAAGGCAATTCATTAAATGCATAATTAGGGAATAATTTGCTTTATGCCTTTAATATTTAATGTAATTATCTATAACCATAACAGGAGGTGTAGGTTTCTATTCTTCCATCATTTGTTTTGTTCTTATTCTATATGTCTTGCAATAATCTTGTTCCTTATTACTCCCTGTCATGTTACTGAGTGTCTCAGATTTCTTCTATGACTGTAGTGCAATCTCAGTCTTTGTGGCAGTTTTAGTATTTAAATACTTTAAATAAGTCTTCATTTTTGCTAAAATGTCCTGCACATGTAGTTGCTTATTGTCATGTAATATTTCTTTGCTTTTTGCCTTTCTACTCTCTCTGCCTTTTTCCAATTTATACACTAGTATAACTCATTCTGTCAGTGCTAGACTGATAAGTGGGAGATTTTGTTACAAGACCCACCCAAGTTCGGCTGCTCATCGTTTGAAAGGCCGAAACTTGAGAGACCAGGAAAAGGAAGGGCTGCTTTATTCAGGAAGCCAGCAATCTGGGAAGATGGTGAACTAGTGTCCCAAGACCATCTCCAAAGGGTGGTTCAAAGTGAGTATTTTAAAAAGGAACTTCATAGAATCAAGGTGTCTACAGCAGACTTGCTGGTGTCAAGGAGACTACTTTGAAATTGCCTTGAGAAAAGAATGTCCTTATCTGCAGTTTCCAGTGGACTCTAGATGAATTCTTGAAACTCGTGAAACAGGGCAACATGGAGGGAGAGGTTTAGTTTCTTAGCTTGTTTCAAAATAGAGTGAGTTTGGCTTGGTCAGAGCCTCCAACAGTTTGACACATTTTGTCTTTTGTGTAGAGTAACTCTATGGGATTTGTAGTGGACATGTTGGTCCTTTGTTCCTTTTACTCCTTAACAGAGCCCTGATGTAGTTGAGATATCTAGCTGTGCCACACACCCATTTGCCTCAGGGCAGCCAGGGTGGGGGGACCCCTCTGAGGTAATCCTCTTCTGTCAGTGACTGATTTGGAATGGACATGTGACTCTGAGGAGGACACATGAAGGGAGGTCCTCTGAGGAGCTTCTGGGAAGTTTCCTCACTCTTGATGAGAATGCCTAACGCATTAACACTCTCTATTTATCCTCTGGGTGTTTCTGAATGTGACACCTATGACTGCTGGAGTCATCTTGCTGCTCCTGTGAGGTTCAACCACCACTTAGAATGGCAGAGAGGTGAGATACAAAGCATATGGGCCTTTGATGACAGAATTGAGTCTCTGAACAAACCAAATTGAACTCTGAAGTACTTCTGGAATTTCTGTTATGTGAGAAATAAATTTCCTTGCTCATCAAGCCAGTCCTAGTCAGAGATTCAATTATATGCAAAAAAACTCCGTTGTATTAGTTTTCTGTTGCTGTGTAACAAATTGTCATCAAATTAGCAGCTTAAAAGAGCCCATTTTTAATATCACAGTTTCTCTAGGTCAGAAGTCCAGACACAGCTTAGCTAGTGTTGTAGTAGGTGGACAGCAGACATGAGCAGGAAGGGGGTTGGGGACTTTGGCCAGTGTTTACATTTGGTTAGATGCTTGTTTATGTTTTAAATATGCTGTGTAAACTGTTCTCGGGGATGTGGGGAGGGAGGGTACAGATAACAGACCTGCCGAAATTGACTAGGTTAGTTCCAACATGGAGAACTTGACCCTGACTTCACTTCAAAGTAAAAATCAGACCCTTGGCACCACACCAATTCTGAGAAAGACCATCTAAGGACAAAAAGAGGGTGCCACACTATTTCCCAGAAGTCCCTTCCCTATTCTGAGAAAACCCCATCTAACCCAATGAATATACCACCCTTGCTTAAACTCCAGTTAAAAGACCACCCAACCCAAACCTCACCGTAGTGCCTGTCTCTGGAGCACACCTGCACTCCCTCCTTGAGGGTGTACTTTGCTTTATGAAACTACTCTTTGCTTTTACCTGCATGACCTGCTCATGAATTCTTTGGATCAGAATCAAGAACCCCTCCTCAGGTTGAGGTCATCTCACCTAGTGTGCAGGGAGATCTCCATGGATTAAACTGCCTGACAACATTTTGGCAACCACAAGTACTATTTATTTATTTTTATTTTATTTTATTATTATCAAATGTTCATCACAGTGGTTCAACAGTCATCTTCCCCCTCCCACCAACCCCACCTACTCCCCTCCCTCTTGATAACAACTAATCACATCTTACTGTTTATGAGTCTAATCTATTTTGTACCTTCTGTTTTGCTTTGTTTTTATGTTCCACAGATAAGTGAAATCATATGGTATTTGTCTTTCTCCAACAGTTGTTTCACCAAGCATAATACCCTCTAGGTCCATCCATGGTATTGCACATGGCAGGATTTCTTTTTATGGCTGAATAATATTCCATTGTGTATATGTACCACATCCCCTTTATCCATTCATCTAGTGATGGACACTTAGGTTGCTTCCATATCTTGGCTATTGCAAACAGTGTGGCAATAAACATAAGGGTGCATATATCTTTTCATATCAGGGATTTTGTTCTCTTGGGATAAATTTCTAGGAGTTTTGTTTTGGGGGAATTTTATGATTACCAATTTGATTTCATTGCTGGTAACTGGTCTGTTCAGATTTTTTGTCTCTTCCCTGGGTTCATCATGGAAGGTTGTGTTTTTCTAGGAAGTTGTCCATTTCTTCAAAGTTGTCCAATTTATTAGCATATGGTTTTTCATAGTATTCTCTAATAATTCTGTGTATTTGTGTGGTAACTGTTGTGATTATTCCTTTTTCATTTGTGATTCTCTTTAGGTGAACACTCTGTTTTTTACTTGATAAGTTTGGCTAGGGGTTTTTCTATTTTATTTATTTTCTCAAAGGACCAGCTTCTGGTTGCATTGATTTTTTTCTATTGTTTTATTCTTCTCTATTTTATTTATTTCTGCTCTGATTTTCATTATGTCCCTCTTTCAACCAACTTTGGGCTTCATTTGTCTTCTTTTTCTAGTTTCTTTAACTGTGATTTTAGACTATTTATTTGGGATTGTTCTTGTTTCTTGAGGTAAGCCTGTATCACTATGTACTTTCCTCTTAGAACTGCCTTGGTTGACTCCCACAGATTGTGGGTTGTTGTGTTTTGTTTTCACTTGTCTCCATGTATTGCTTGATCCCTGTATCAACTTGTTTATTGATCCATTGATTATTTAGAAGCATGTTGTTTAGACTCCAGGTTTGTGGGTCTTTTTGTTTTCTTTCTGTAATTTATTTATAGTTTCATACCACTGTGGTCAAGAAGCTGATTGATACATTTTTTATCTTTTTGAATTTATTGAAAGGCTCTTCTTGTG